GGAATGCAGCGTCAAAGACCTACCTGGGCTGTCATCCCCTACTTGGCACAGTGCTTGACACCTAGAGGGCATAAAAATTGTTTTTAGCCCAAGCTGGTTTGGCTCAGTGTTGGGGCCCAGCCCCAGCAGGTCCAGGGGTTCCTAAAGGTGTGGACGGAGTCGGCAAAGAAGGAATGACACGGAGACAGCGTTCAGTTGATCAGCAGCCTAGCCAGGATCTCTAGCCAAGTTCTGTCTAGGTTCTCTCGCTAGGTTCTCCAGCCAGGTTCTGTTTTTTATTGTCTTGTTACATCTGTATTTATACCATTTGATTTTAATCCTGTCAATTTCTATTCCACAGGTTAGGGGGTTTCTTATCTTTTGTTAGGCATGAGAAAAATATATAATTTATAAATATGCATTAAAAGTGATTACTGAAGCCCTCACTCCGGCAGCTCAGTGGATAGAGCATTGGCCTGTGGACTAAAGGGTCCCGAGTTCGATTCCAATCAAGGGCATATGCCTGGGTTGTGGGCTCGGTCCCCAGTAGGGGGCATGCAGGATGCAGCCCATCAATGATTCTCTCTCATCATTGGTGTTTCTATCTCTCTCTCCCTTCCTCTCTGAAATCAATAAAATATATATGTAAAAAATTGTTTTTAAAAATCCAAGAATGTCTTCCAGGTATCCTATAAGTCAGTCACTCCCCAACAGCCGCTCTCCTACTGAGCAGGGAGTTTTAATGAGGACGCTTTCCCTCCTTGAATCCTGGACAGTTACACAATGTCAATCATTTACCCTGCAGGCAACAGGTTGGGCCACGTCTATAAGCCTCTTGTCACGAGCTTGGGCTTTGGAATCTTGTATTTTTTGCGATGCCACTTGCTCACTGTGTGACTTTGAGCAAATGACAGGCTTTCACTTTCTGAGACCCAGTTTCTTGTCTGTAAAATAGGGGTAATAACAGTAACCAACCTCTTCAAGTCGTTTTGAAGACTTGTGGTAGCCCCTTTCACGTCCCGCGTTATTCAGGGTACCTGTTCAGGGTTCTGGTTCTGGAGAAGGCCGCACACAAAATGAAGAGAGACTAGAAAAGAATTAATTTGGGAAATGGGGGCCAGGCGTGAGTCCACTGCTCTGGCCTAGCTCTCCCTTTTATTTAGTTTGGGATACACCCACAGCCCTTAGGCAGGCAAGTTCCAGTAACACACAGACTATCTTATCAATAAGGATTTACATGACTAACTGGTGGGGAAGTTGCTTCAGCTACCATTATCTCGACTAAACAGTGGGTGCATAGCTCTGAACTTTTTCTGGGCTTCAAGGGTCACCAACCTTCCAGGTTCCCTGTCCACACCTCTCTGCAAGTGATGACAATAGGCAGTTTCCCACATCTCCCCCTTCTCTTTTCCTTAAAAAATCTTGCATCTGCAGACCAGAAATAAACAAATAAGAACAAAAAATGTTTGAGTCCCAATTTCAATGTCCGAC